TCGACGGATTCGTGAATGAAGTAGATAACTTATCAACAACGCATCATCAGCTTGATAAAGCCGTCAATAAAAACGATGTTGAAATTAATCGTTGACATTCGTTTTATTGTCAAATGGTTTAATTATATAATAACTTATTTTTTCATTTAGAACTGTAGAATTATAGAAATAAACTTGCCTGAAAAAACACAGAAAATGTAGATATGGCAAGTAGAACAGTAAAAAGTTAAAATACATTTAAACACAAAACAGTAGATAGGAATCAAATATTAAATATGAAATTAAAGTAATATTTATTTGTATAAAAATAATTCCATTATATTATTATTTTGGTCTTTTTTACACTCAATAATAGTTAAATCTACATTTTTGGCATTGCCATTTCATTAACAATTAAAACAAAAAACTTCCAAAAAAAAGCCAACAACAACATTATATTAAAAAACAATATACTAAAACTAAATATGGAATGAACAGTTTAAAAATCACAGTTAGTAGAAAGTTGATTCTACTTTCTTTGCAGTTTTCCTGAGATTAGGATTTTGCTTTTGCTTGTTGTAGTTGTTTTTTCCATTTGTACTTTTTCTGTAAACTAAATTACGTTATCGGCCTTAGATATTTTTTAGATTACTCTTTAAATTAGTAATTTTTTGTTCTTTTGTGCTTTTAGTTGTGTCAGCATGCCGAACTAGTAGCAAATGTATCAGTTTGATAAAAATTATATTGCGGACAAGATGAAAAATAATGCCAGAAATACGATAACAATAAAACTATCCAAATATGTAAAAAGAAGATAGAAATGAGAAAATTAATAAAAATATTATTATAATTGACCCTCATCAGGTGGTGGTAAATGCGCACATGCCCTGATGGTTGTTCTTAAATAATTGTGTAATTTTATTGATTATGTAAATATGTGTAAATTTTTGTGTTTTACTTAGTTTATAAGTCTGTACTTAAGGTTCTGTCAATCCTATAAATAAAGACTTTGGTTATTAATATTGTTATATTTATTAAAGATATATGATTTTTGTTCAATTAAACTAAAATTGTAGTCGAAATACAAAGTAAACATCATAATCTTATAAAAGAATTTAATAAAAGATTGATCGATTTTACAACCAGATTGTATAATAGATAATTGTATTAAAAAATTATCAAACGGCTTATTTAAGAAAACCATTTAATAAGTTGAAAGATTTGTTGAGCAATAATAAATTTCAATTAAATTAGTAATAAGCCTAATGAAAGGCTTAATATTATGTTCTTGTCTCTGGGAAAAGCGATTTTTGAAATGTTAATAATTTTTGTATAGGAGTATATATAAAATATACATTTCAATGAGTGTAGCTTATAAAAATAAAACAAAAGGAAAAGATTATTATAAAATTTAAAATGATATTGTACAAAAAAAATCTGTCTGCAACTGATTGTCTTTAAAAAATATATCAACATTCGGATTATCTTTTCCTTTTCCGATTATATTCTAACCTATAGTCAATAAATGACAAAGAGAAATCAAGAGAGTTTTTGGAAAAAAGTTTTCAAAGATTCAACGGTTTTATATATTATGTTATCGTTTTGTCGGTCAATATGATTCTTATGGTTTTACTATATAAAGAAAAAAATCTTTATAATTTGCACCACCTTCTTAAATTGCATCGGAACTCGATTTTCAGTAAGCCACGGTGAAAAATGTCATGGAATCAATGGTGTCATGTAATGGTCCAACAATTTACAGCGGGTGTACACACTGATTCCATGCTGGATTTTGACCTCTGAAATCTTCCGTTTAAAACGTACAAATAATTTTTAACACATTCGGTTGATAAAAACAACAAGACAAATTTATATAATTTAATAAATCTAAGGTCCCAAATTAAGTAAACCTGTGATTATTTTGTCTCAATTAACCAATAACAGAGGTCAGTCTGAATAAGTACCACACTGGCTCTTTTTTTAAAATAAATTGTTATAAAATATTAATGACTGACGACCACTTTTTTAACCATTGCGTTAACTCACCTGAGGAAGGATTCAAATAAATCCGAAACGTTGTGGATAAAAACTGGTTGTGGTTTTTTTGAGATGACCTATTATCCCACCTTCAAGAAGGAAGAATCATAAGATTAACTGTTGAGGTCAAAATATAAGAAAACATCAATAACAGAGGCAAATAAGATTAACCTTAAGCCAAGTTCAGTGTTAAACTGTTACCTCAAAAAAGAAATAAAGGAAGTGTCAAAAATTAAAAATATTTTTATTATCTTATTACTATGATGAAATCATCCGGAAGATAAGTATAAAGTAGTGTGTACATACAGGGTGTCATTTTGACATGCCCCGGCTTAATTTCTCTCGAACACATAGCGTTATCGAAAAACCAAAAACAAACATATTTAATATTTTTTAGTCTAGGTCAATTTTTACTGATCTTTTTATATATTTGTTGCACGGATACAACAGAGTACAACTTTAAAATTTTAAATGGGAACGTATACTTTTTTACATACTGTTTTAATGAATTTTTATTCTAAAAGATGCCGCAATCACATTTTAAATTTTTCAAAGAATAACCAAGTTGTGGGTCTGAATATGAAAACATATATCTTTTTCGTTTTTATAATTATTTTCAATAAATGATTTGTTTATTAATTTTAATAAAAGTTTTGTTTGTAAATAGGTCATTGTTAATGCTTATGTAAAAACATAAAATAACAATATAAACAATAAATAGTAGAACAATACATAGTAAACGGTAGGGTTTTTAAAAAAAGGTACACTCCATGTTTGGAACAACAAGAAAAACAAACACGAACAGAGATTTTCGAAAGACTCATCATCTGCCCAAGAAATTCATAAAACGGACTAGCATCAAAACTGCAAATAAATATACTTAATAATAATAACGAAAAGTATACGTTTAAAATTTCAAAGTTGTACTGGCTCTGATGTATCCTGGCAACAAATAATTCAAAAAGCAGTAAACATTTAAATCTGTACTAAAATATTAAATGTGTAGTATTTAGTGACTGTTAAGTAATTAGTATTGTAATGAGATAGTGAGATGTGGACTGGTGCGATGTAGGTTTAGAAAAATATTATGTTTATGATGTCAAAGTGAGATATTAATGGTTTTTTATATATATAAAAGTACAGTTTACATATATAACATATAAATAATATATTATATCATATCGATAGAAAACACAATATATATACATATATATTGTGTGTTTGATTCAATCAAACATATAAAAAATAATAATGTCTTTATGTATATATATTGTATTTATACGTTTTAATAGAATCAAACATATATAAAAAACAAAAGATATTATTATTTTTATATGTTTGAATCAAACACACACATACGCGCNATATATATATACTATATAATGTGTGTATATATGTTATATGTTTGATTGAATGTATGTTTATGTATGTGTGTTTGATTCAAACATATAAAAAATAACAACATCTTTTGTTTTTATGTATGTTTCATTCAATTAAAATACATAAAAAATATTTTTAAAAACCTTAATATCTTACACTAACACTCGTAACACTCTTGGAATGAGTAAAAATAATTTTATTAAACCTAAAATTTCTATATTGTGAACATCTTTGTATAAATTCATTTTCACATCGTACATGTATTTGTATATTTTAAACAATGTTTGTGAATCCCAGGCCCTGAAGATGATCTCAATAAAGATCGAAACGTTGGTACGATAAAGAAAATGTTTTTCTAAACCTACGTCACACCAGACCGCATCTCACGATCTCTACATTGTAAAATATTAAATATGTATTTTTTGGTTGTCTGTTCAATAGAAATTCAGCCGGGCAATCTAAAAAGGACACACTTTATACATTCTACATAACAAGCCTAAACGGTGATACAATAAAACTCCTGTCGAAAAAGAAGTATGAATGAAAAATCTTCTTTTTCGTCTTTAAAAAAAAAAAAAAAAGAGTCATCTTACACTTCCTAACAGTTCAACCAGTTATTACTTTTTGTCGAAATATTTATTTTTATGCTATCAATTACCCATATTTCGATTTATTATTATTGTTTGTTTGTTTAGTCTAAGTATTTGCTATTGTTTATTTAATATCTTAGTTTCGAACAGAGGTATTCTTAGAAGGCCCAGTGGGAAGGGTCGATTATTCCAGAATCGCTTTTGTTCAAAATTAAGTTATTGATTTATTGGACCGCAGACAACTGGTAACGCCCGCCCTTGTGAATGGAACAGATGACATAAATATTTCCGTACCGCGGGACAGTTTATGATTTTCGAAACTCCGGGTCGAAAGGAGAGGAGCCTGAAAAGTGAAAAGCCATTGACCGAATGTTTATGACAACGCATAGGTCCAAATGCGTTTCGATCGTTTCATTTTTAAATAAATTCGTTCATTTATTCTGCGAAGAACGCGTTTCTGTTGGGTTTTACTTCTTTGACAAGCGATCGGTGCGTTTTCGGGACAATTTTTCGTAACATGTGGGTTTATGAATGAAATCGGCCCGGTATGAATGGCGCCCCTGCCAGGGGGGGAAACGACGCTTGGTTGCTGTTGCAAAGTTTGTTTCTTTATTTTTTCTTTTATGACCATAATTCAGAGGTTTTGTTTAGAATTAAAATAATTTTATATTGGGTTAATTAAATTTAATAAACTTTAAAATGTGGAGGGGCGTAATTGAAAATAATGTACAATACCGGGCGTTTAAGTGAGCCGGATCTATATAGGATCGTGTCGTTTCGCTTGTATTCGTTGAGATTCGGGAGGCGGTGACGTCAGAGGGGGGATGGATAAGAGTTGTGCAGGGGGGTGAGACCGATTCGGATTGGAGGAGAGGGCCTGTCCAAATATGGGTCGAGGTTTGGTGGGGGTTTCATTCATAAGGTGGAAGATTGCGCGGGCGTTCCCAGTGTATAGCGGTGAACTGTGAGAGACGCCTACAGATCAGTACAGTGTTTTGTGTGTGGGTTTTGAAGGAGGCGTGACTCGGAGCAACATGACGATGGACGGGCTGGACACCCTGGGGCACCACAGCCCCGGGACACCCGGTTTCCTCCTTCACGACCAGGTGCCGGGAGGTGCGGCGGCGGCGTCCACGACGACGCCTTTCCTGTCTTTCGAGACGCTGAAGAGTGCCGCTGCCAGCCAGTCCGTTACCGACGAACAGCAGGAGCTGAACACGCCCGTCACAACGTCCGGCGATGCGCCTTCCTTCTTCGGACCCTCCTCCGTCGTAGAACCACCCCACATCGCTGGTAAGTCCGACAAGATTCGTCACTTATACGACCTTCTACTCTTTTCCCTCCGAAACCCTCCACTAACGACAATAAGACCTAACGACACCAATAACCTTGTCGAGTGGTGTCCATCCCAATAAACAAACTTAGGGATCGACTGTCTGCACTTTTTGCTCCTTATCTTCTTGTGATTATTTATAATAAAATATAAACAGAAATAGTTTGAATTTCTTGTCTGAACAACACATAACAGCGCATGTTGAGGTCTATTTCGATGAATTCGCATTCTCGGTTAGCTTCAAACCAAACAGAGCGTTTTAAGAGAGAGCATTTTATTAGCCGATATGCCCAATAGTTTGTCACTATCACATCACTTTAGCATCGATAGTAGAAATTTTATAATAGCCGTATTACTTTCCGTGGTTAAGAATGGTTGGGATGAAAGAGAGTCGAGCAGAGGTGCGCAAGTTTCGTATGGTGACCTTTTATGAATTGCCATATTAAATCAACAAGTACAGGTGTACGCGTTTGCAACATTCTTTACATGCTCAAAAATCTTGTATCTTGCGTTTCACTTCACCGTTGGTAGTTTGTTTTGTTTTTGTATTTCCCATGGAAGAAAAGATCGGTTGTATGTTGGTAGTAATTTGTCTACGATCTGTTGCATGGCAATTTGATCAATGGCGGTGGGAATGAACAAAACACGAGGTGCCGCGCGTGTGCCCTGTAAACCTCAGAATTGCAATTTGAAACCAGTAAATGTAATTCGTATCCGAAATGAAAAAAAAAAAAAAAAAACGTTTCCGGCGAGCGGCTGATATCAGTTGTCCACGTAAAGTTGAGGTCTGTTAGAAATGTTCGTTGAGAGGGTATCGCCCGCGCTGTGCTCAATGAGAAGCCGCCGAGACCTGCGCAAAGCCGCCAATTGAAAGTTGGTCAGGAAAATCGAAGGTTTAACAAACTTTTCGTCCCCTGCGGTCCTTCGCCGTGTCCCCGGTGAAACTCCGCTTTTCGCCCTTTCACCTCCGAAGGGCCCTCGACTCGCTAAAGAGCGCCGACTATAAAAAGGAATAATTTATTTTCCCTTCCCTGGTAGTCCCGAGAGGGCAAAAAAAATAAAGCCGAGGCTTTTTTACGTTTCGACCTCTGGCACTTAACTGGAGCGTCCAGGGTGATTTATGCGTGTCTTGCCTCTTAAATGATCCCACAAGATAGAGACCGTAACTTGGAGTTAATTAACGGGAAAGACAAAAGAGATTTCAGGACAAATGCGTCGTGTATTCGGGTCCGACGACGAGGCTTCACTTGTTGCTTTTATCGAACACCCGATGGGTCCGCGCCGCCTCTGACATCCACCCACCTCGTCGTTAAATTAATCACAGAAAACAGCCACCTGTTACCATCGGAAAACCGTGTTTCTTCTTCTGGTCACATCTTCAGCTCCAATTTAGAATCGTGGTATTTATATAGACGATAAGAAAGAAAATTTTCGTTTGGGAATTGTATCAACGATAATTACTTTAACTTTTGTTTGAAAAAGCCGTTTGATTCGGCAGTTTCAACAACAAAGTCACTATGTATGTAACAGTTGTTTATATGCTTTCAGGCTCGTTGGAGGAAGGTGGAGGAGTGCCTAAGTTGGAAGGGACTCATCATGAAGAAGAAGAAGCCAATAGCACAGGGAGTGGTGTGCTTTACGGAAGCGGATCTCATAAAATAAGCTATCGGGGTGTCTTCACGACTTCTGCTAGCAGTCCAGTCCAGCCTTCAGCGAACATGGCTCCATCACCGTCTTGGCTGTTGCCCAGCCCCGACAAGACGCTCTTCCCTCCTTTGTTCGGAATCCTTCAGCCACAGGGCTCGCCGCAGTACCCCTCCAGTCCGGCACAGTACGAGGACAGGAATCACCAAGTGGAACTCCTCGGACTGAGCATAGAATGCGGAGGGAAACAGGGCTACGCCTGCGAACAGGATCTTTACCAGAGGCAGGTCATGCAAGGTTCCCCAGGAAAGTATCAATGGCTCGACTCGCCGGTAGAGTACAACGCACAGATTGTAGTCCCAGGGCCGGCCACGCCGTTAAAACAAGAGCCGCAGTACCAGGCGAACTGCACGCAATCCCCCACGACCTACACCGTTCAACTCGCCGAATACAACCCTTCGACGAGTAAAGGTCACGAAATCCTCTCCCAAGTCTACCAGCAGTCGCAAGTACCCTTGAAACTGGTACCCGTGAAACCGAGAAAGTACCCAAACAGGCCGAGTAAAACCCCAGTCCACGAGAGGCCTTACGCATGTCCGGTAGAAAACTGCGACAGGAGGTTTTCCAGGTCGGACGAGCTGACGAGGCACATCAGGATACACACCGGTCAGAAACCGTTCCAATGTCGGATCTGCATGAGGTCGTTCTCGAGATCGGATCACTTGACGACGCACATAAGGACACATACCGGTGAAAAACCTTTTTCGTGTGATGTTTGCGGGAGAAAATTTGCAAGGAGTGACGAAAAGAAAAGGCATGCAAAAGTTCATCTTAAATCCCGAGGGAAGAAAGATAAGATGGGTCTCCTCCAAATGCCATCTGTCACGACATCTTTATAGACTGTGATCCCCTCCCTATATATTTTCTCGAAACATTCCCTTACCCGATCCCCTTATATTATAAGATATTTTTTTACTAATTTATTAAAATATAAATATACGAGTATAAAAGCAAGAGATATAAATAGTGGTAATTATAGTCTAGTCTTGTTGAGAGTGATTTTAGGCCTCTACGTTGCCGTCTCCCAATTTTCTGAGTCTGAAAGACAAATTTTTTTTTTCATTTCTTACTATTATTAATAATGGTATCCTTGTGCAATTTTAAATCATGTTACCGAATGTTTCATTATTTAATTTATCAGTCCGGGTTAAACTTCTAGCAAAGGAAAAATGGTCTAGATGTTCTTATTTGTTTAAATTATATTTAGTTTTGGATATTTAGCAGCAAGACCGGTATCTTGAGGTTTTTCTTTTCTTAATTTTATAAGGATAAACAATGTTACATCGTAAACACTACATGTTACATCGTTCAATTAATTTCGGTATTTATTTGTGAAGGATCTGTAAAAGCACTGGTCAGTAAATTTGCTGGGACACTGATTTTAGTCGGACAAATTAGTTAGACAAAAAGAACACATACATGAAACGCATATATTTTGCGTCATTTATTACCAGATGTGCCATATTGACAGTAGATTATTGCTTGGGAATTTCTTAAAATATGCAATTTTTTCAGTTTTTAATTTACGCTGCTGTAAAATTTGTTAATCACCCATGAAATGAATCTATCGATTATGTTTTTCATATTGCTAGTGAATCGAAAGACTGTGTACGTGCCAAATTTCATATTTTATCTGGTAATTAATAAGAAAAATGTGAAAAATCCCTGGTTTTCGACAAGCTTATTCGATTTTTTTGTTATTTTAGGGAACATCGGCGACCAAGATCTCGTAACCTTTGCTCATAATTAAAATATTTTGCTTCCATGACCTTTTAAAGGCGTGTTGATTGCGGGTGACGGCCGTTTTGTGCCGATTTTGTTTTTAATTTTAATGTTTTTCTTTTATAGAAAAAAAAAGTTTGCTAAATGTCGGCACTCTCTTTTGTGGAGTTTCCCCACTTTAAATTATTGGATCGTACAAATTAATATAGGCCTAAATAAAATATAAAAAAATATAAACCACTGTTCCGTTGATTTTTTTTTGTTTTTTATAAAGTTACTAACTGTCTCAATTTCAATGAATGTGAATTTTTACTTATTATTGGGCTGTAAAGCCGTTGTAAATATTGTAACACTTGTATTAATTCTGTTGATCTTTTATTTTATTTGTCTGTAGATATAAGTATGGAAGTATATTGTTATTTCTTTTTTTTTATAACAAAGTCATAATAATAATAAGTTAATTATGGACTAATAATTAATATTAATACTTTGAGGTCGCGTTCATGAGACAGTGACCTGCATTCAGGTAGCTCAATTTGGTGTCTTGGTAAACTCTAAAAACTAATTATTAAAAACATTTTGCTAAAAATTATATTTCTTGAAGAAAGAGAGTAATAATAGTTATATAACTTAAAAAAATAAAATATGGAAATCTTTCTGTGATGTCTATTTAGAATTTACAAAACCCGAGGCACATAACTGTAGATTGTTTTTCTAAATGGGGGTTTTGAACGGCCGAGTTGTGTTGTAGACGTAATAGAAATAGAATTAGCAAAAATTTATACAAATATATTTTAATAAATTTGGAGAATTATGAAAAAATACCGTGCATTACAAGAGGAAGGGCGTCTACAACGCAGGGTCGTAGTGCTTTCAAAGAGATTTTTTTTTATAATTGTTTGATGTCTAATTTCTAAGAAAATAGCTAACTTACAAAGCTCTAAACACAAAAAAAAAATTATATCCCTTAATATATATTTGTGAAATCCCAATGCACATGAATGTACCCTTAATATGTAAATTGATAATTTATTTAATCTTCCGTTGTAAATACTATTTTATATTTGCAAATGTTTATATACTGTCGACTTCCCCCATATTTGCATTCTGTCGCTGTGACTGATAAATTTGAATGGCTGTTAAGAAAGAAAAAACATTTAAAAAGTTGTATTTAAACCAAAATTAACAAATTTCCAACACAATGAAATATAAAAATAAAACCTTAATTAATTAACTGACGTTGTTTATTTAAGAACCCTCCAACCACGAAAACTCCTATCTGTAGAAACATTCTAATAATTGTGAGATTTCCTCTGCAGGGAGATAAACCTATTATTTGATAGTAACCTATCATCTTGGTCTGCCTACTCTCGCTGATTTTTGTTGGTTCATGAACCATTAATCAGCGAGGATAGGTTGAATATTAAACAATTCTAATAATTGTCTAATCAGTGGGTTGAAAGATAGTTCATTGTTGAAAGATCTAGACAGTAAAAGTCGTTGGAAACAGAACGATCGTGATTTTTCCAACTTTGTCCTTAATGTCTGAAATTGAATTCTTTCCCTAACGCAAAGTTAATATGAAAGGGCGGTTATCCCAAACAACAAGGAAACAAGATAACTACGATAACATTTCGTTTCCTTAAAGGGTGATAAAAGCGGGAGGAAGCAGATGACCAAGAGGAATAAAATTGATGTGCATTCATTCACCATTCACCCTGCAACGATTCCTTAAGACCATAACCCAATTAATCAGATAATTACTATTTTCTGTGATTCTTAAGTTTTGATGAAGTTGTTGAAAGGGGTGGGAAAGCATGTTGTTCGCCGTAGTTTGGCAATGTTTAAATCCGCGCATCGTTTGATGAAAGTTCGATGAAAATTCCAGAGGAAACCGGTTCATCATCAGGGTTTGGCTTTTTAACAAGGAAAATCCCTCCTAATCAACGCCAAGAACGGTGTAGAAGAAATCACAGGAAATGCTAGGTGCGCATTTCATTGGTTCGGTGCTGCATCACACACAACAATTAAAATATAATAATTCTACAGCACTAATCAGAACTTTATTGCTAAAATCCAATTACTCATGCAGTTCCAATTCATTATCTCCATTTTTGTTTTATAGAAAATTACTGCACTTTTCGCCCTACAATTGCTCTTTAATGTCGTAGGGTGTTTGAAGGTTGACGTTGAATTTATAGCGTCCTGCTTAAGTCTTTTCTCCTCATCTAGATTTATTCCCCCTTCGTTATCTTCCTTTATCCTTTCTATTTTCATTCCTGCTCTAAATCTAATAAGAAATTTTGATATTTAAAAAAAGCTTCAATTTAAGAAAAAGCCCCGTTATCGTTAAAAACCCACCTTTTTTTTCAATGTCCAGAGGTTATACAATTTTTTACAGAACAGTCCTTATTTCAGACAGTGTTTTTAAACAATGGAATGAATCAGAAAGTAACCAGAAAATCAAAACAGTGAGGCAGAAAGTATATGTCCTAGGGGTAGTAGATACCTATTCGCATAAGGTTTAATTTTGTTTTCCCTTAATTTAACGATATTCATCATTCCTTAAGATAACCTATTTTTTTCTATTGGAAAATGCTCCAGTTTGTTGAACAAACTTCTAATCATGTTGTTATTTTATTATGAATGTATTTCGAATATAAATCTTGTGACTATAGTCATATCATTATAGAAGATTATAGTCAAAACATCTTTAAATTGGATTTTAATTATGTAACACAATTTATTTTTTCTATTTTATTTTGTTACTAGCTCAACATTACATTTTTTTTTCTTCTTTTAAGCGAGAGTATTTCATCTTCGAGGTTATATGAACCCTCGGGGAGCCGATGTTTTTGAGAAAAAACCATTTGTAAGTATGTAGGGTTTGAATGCAGGGCCGCTGGATTCGAACCCGGAACATTTACCTTACAGTGATGAGCACCGTCTCAACGCCTAAACCGTTGCGGCCATCGACGCCAAATATAACTATTTTTAAAGCTCTTCTAAAGGAAGGGAAATAACAATGTCAATATCAAACAGAGGTATAATTATTTTAGTTTCAATTAATTAATAATAATATTAATAATAATACAACTAATAATAATTGCATGTTGTGTATAGATTAACATTTAATTTCCATGTTTTAAAAAAGTCGAGGCTTAAGACCAAGTTGTAAAGAATATTATTTTATATTTTATTACTCGAGTTACTAGAGGAAGACGTGTTTTATTGCATGCAATACTAATTGTTCTCATGTGAATTTATCGTATCTGTTCGTATATATTTTTAATTACAATTTGTATTAACATTATAACTCATTTTATAAACTCAATCCTGCTCTCGTTATTAGCAAATTATTGAATCAATATTACATTAATATAATTAGCAAATTATATTAATACGTTTCAGGAATTGATTTGTTTGAAGACATCATACTCCTACCATCAGTATGAGGGTCATTCGTGGAAAACCGGTAAAAATACATTAGAGTTGGGGATATCCTAAATCTTGTGGAGCCCTGATTCAAACATTGGTCCTCCGGGCCGGATTTTCCTGGTCTGACCTCTTCTCCTGTCTTGGTTTTTTATCATCCGTATCGCCCAACTAAATATTTTCTTTTCCTAAATTAATTTCCAGTAAATTTATTCATCAAGATGACTGATTTAACGCTCGATCAACAATCCCGCGTGTTGCAGAACAAACTTGGAACTATTTATCGGGAGATAAAATTGATTCGAGAGAGTGCCAAAACTGCCGAAACGGACATGTCACAATTTCCCACATTTCGAGGAAGATATTGTCTTTTAGATAAATATTTTAATGAATATTCCAATGCCTGGGATCGGCTAAAAACATTTTGAGAGTGCCCAACACGACACGCAAGAATTGCACAATTACACAGAAGACAAACACTTTGAGCCCTGAAGATGATCTCAATAAAGATCGAAACGTTGGCACGATAAAGAAAATGTTTTCTGAAACCTACATCACACCAGACCACATCTCACGATTTCTGAATACTTATTAAAAATGTATCAATGATATCATGAACCATCGGCCAAATAGAGATATTTTTCTAATAAAATCTGTTCTTTCACACATTTCAGAAATTAGGAGATTTATCCTAGATGTGATCACAGATTCAACATTTCTTCGAGGACGGTACGGAGGTCGGCGGTAGCCTTGCTTGGGGCTTACATCGCCCTTGGCGGCCCTCTTCGGTTTTCTCCCTCCTCCCAGTAGCGAACCTCTTTAACAACACGAATCTCTCCTTTTGCCCGTATTCCGAACAGAAATCAGATATGGTAATTTCTTAATAATCACATGCCGCAGAAATATCTGGAGGGGCCGACTGAGATGATTAGCAGATTTCAAAATCTAGATTGATTATGTTTCAAGGGAACGCCGACGAGCGTTGAGACGACGTCGAAGATTGCCGATCGGCACGGTTCTACTGGAGTTGCATAACATTACTTTTGGTATAAAACGTCGATGTGGAGAGTTTTGCGAAATACAGTAGGAAAACCTAACAAAAGCAACCTATCAATGATGATGGATAAACCTGACTATGCTTCTCAATCTAATATCATCCGTTAACCAACGTTTTTAAGGGAAGTATTTAAAAGTAATAATAATTTTCAGAACTTAAGTCAGGACATTTCAAACAAAAATTATACTACCATATTATGGTAAATTCATTTAAAAAATCAGTTTCCACTCATCAAGCACAATTTTGTAAATTAATGATTATTTGGAGATCGTGAGATGCGGTCTGGTGTAACGTAGGTTTTAGAAAAACGTTTTCTTTACTGTGCCAACGTTTCGATCTTTTATTGAAATCATCTTCAGGACGTTGCGTTGTCTGCATTTCATCAAAAAAGTTCTCTGATTGATAGCTGATGCAATTTTCTTATAATTGTTGGCGATCTCCTTCAGAATACTCTTTCCTTGGTGTCCATATGTAGTTGAAATCTGTTCGTAGGACATCGCTAACAATGAGAAGAAACTTGCGCCGCTTATCAATCAGAGAACTTTTTTCTTGAAATGCAGACAACACAAGGTCCTGAAGATGATCTCAATAAAGATCGAAACGTTGGCACGATAAAGAAAATGTTTTTCTGAAACCTACATCACACCAGACCGCATCTCACGATTTCTGAATAATTATCGATTAACGGTCACTAATCACCACACATTCCTACACATAATTGAAGTATTTTGTCGGTGAGGAAGCTACAATTTTTGAAATTAAACATCTTCAGGCACTCTCAACACGACACGCAAGAATGGCACTATTACACAGAAGACAAACATTTTGAGCCCTGAAGATGATCTCAATAAAAATCGAAACGTTGGCACGATAAAGAAAATGTTTTCTGAAACCTACATCACACCAGACCACATCTCACGATCTCCAAATAATCATTGACTAACGGTCACTAAACACCACACATTTTTAATAAATAATTTTTCATTATAGTTTCTTCTTTTTGGCTCTGTAAATACTGACGACACATAGCACTTACAGAAAAATTTCCCCTACTAAGGAGCTTTAAAAACGTGTACATCCTTTATCAACGGTCAGTTATCACCAATATTAAACTAACGTGTAATTGCAAAAAAATGATATGTCGGTTACAAATGGTTTAAAAAGTTAGTGATTAAGATGATGTAACTTCTATTAAAAAAGTGAAAGTAATACAAAGTAAATAAGAAATACAGGACAACAAGCTTTTAAAAATTAAATTAAATGTTCAAAAATTCCAAACTCCGTGAAGAATACAAGCTTGACATCATTTCATGACAGATTTTACTGCTCTCAAGAGTTCATCCTGCTTCTCTTCTCTTATAAAACGATTGCACAGGAAGGATTCAGGAATCTGTGTTTTTATCATTTATATACTTAATTGCTCCGCAAATACAGCGCCCGAAGCAATGGTTTGACTGGGAGTGTAGTCGTGAAAATACATTTAGAAAGACCCGTACGGCATCGGCAAGGATTTAGAAGCTAACGCAAGTTACAAATCCTTGGTGGATGGGAAGTAAATGGCATTTTATTGCAATGTAATTGACAGTTCAAATCGGTTAGAGGGTGTTTTGTTTGTTGGTTTCTATCCGTTACGTCTATCTTCTGTTGTTCCGCCTCCACACTGCTGCAAGATTGACCTATACATTTTGAAAAGTTTTGAAACTTCTCCAAGATGAATCTAGT